CTGAGAAGCAGATAGCCTATCACACTTGTGTTGCATTACGCCAATATTTCAGAGCACATTTTCTTATGCTGGTGGATTCAGTTCGCCCTAACAAAAACAGCCGAAGTTTGATTAGGAACCTACCAAGTGTAAGGGCTGCATACAAGCCTCTTGACTTGAGTAATGAGGCTATGGATGCTGTCTTCTTGCAATTACAGAAGGATCGCAAGTTGGGACCTGCATTTGCAAGAACTCGTTTTCCTGCTGTAGACAAGTTCTTAGGATTTAATGGGCATATTACTATGCTGGAATTGTGTCAGGTTGGACATAATAATTCTTCATATTATTAGATTCCATGTTGAACTGCAGACTTCCTTTTTATTTATTTACGTCACCTAATGATTGCAGGCTCCGCCAGTTGAGCGATATTTGCATGACTTGCTTCAGTATGCTTTGGGTGTCCTTCACATTGTGACATTGGTTAATGATGGCCGCAAGATGATAGTAAATGCTACCTTAAGCAATAGCCGTGTTGGCATAGCTGTTATTCTGGATGCAGCAAATATTGCTGGTAATTATGTAGATCCTGAGGTATTGATATCCCTGGCCTTAGTTGTCTTCTGCCCTTCAGTTGATATTGTTAACGTATTTGTTAAATGATGCCAGCTTCCAGAGAGTATAGCTAGGAAGGAATTTCTAACTACCCATTTGCTGTTTGTTTACAGATTATACAACCAGCATTGAATGTGCTGATAAACCTTGTTTGTCCACCTCCTTCAATTAGCAATAGACCCTCAAATACAGAGCGTAATATTCAAGATCGATCTCTTAGCATCCCCAGCCAGGGTGATCAAAGGGAGAGGAATGGTGAGTCGAGTGCGGCTGATAGAGCGGGCCGCTCCATTGGAAGTGCTATGCAAGCATCTGTTCCTACAACGGCATCTGGACTGGTTGGTGATAGAAGGATATCTTTAGGATCTGGAGCAGGTTGTGCAGGGCTTGCTGCGCAGATGGAGCAGGGGTATCGGCTGGCTAGAGAGGCTGTACGTGCCAACAATGGTATTAAGGTGCTTCTGCATCTCCTCCAGCCAAGGATATATACTCCTCCTGCTGCCCTTGATTGTGTCCGTGCCCTTGTTTGCCGGGTTATGCTTGGCTTAGCTAGAGATGATACAATCGCACACATATTGACCAAACTCCAGGTAATGCTGCGTTCGTTTAGTGATGAAGTTGCTTGGATATAATGCATATTAGAATAGATGGAAAATACATGGATAGACTTGCGAACAAAGAGTTGTGATCTGAGACTTCTTTGGCTTGTGGGTCTGTAAGTGTATTTGCTCGGAATGTGTGATATCGGAATAGGAACTATGATCAATTTGTTCAAGAATACATTGGTTGCCTACTAGGATGAGTATAGTACCAGAACTGCAGACCTGGCGGATTTGTAAAGCTAAGTGTATGTCTTTTTATTTCAGGTTGGTAAAAAGCTATCGGAATTAATACGGGATTCAGGTGGTCAAACATCTGGAAATGAACAAGGCAGGTGGCAAGCTGAATTGTCCCAGGTGGCTATTGAGCTGATTGGGGTAACCTTCATTTACTCTTTGTTTTTAGAAGTAACACCACGCATTTTACTTTTCCTGTGCAATCCATTCATCTAATTTTTGTAAGAAATAACCTCCTGATTTTTAATGATATTTTTTTTTGAAAGGATGATTTTTAATGATATTAATTAATGTACCCCTTTAATATATTGCAGATTGTAACAAATTCTGGGCGTGCAAGCACACTAGCTGCTACTGATGCTGCGACTCCTACTCTGAGGCGCATTGAAAGAGCTGCAATAGCTGCAGCTACTCCAATCACTTATCACTCCAGGTTATTGTTGCATCTTTTACCGCAGAGGCTATAAAATTTCATTCATTTTTTTATGAAGCTCACTCGTTTCTTCTTTTGTTCTTGTCTGGCCCACCCAAAACTAGGGAATTGCTGCTCCTCATTCATGAACATCTACAGGCATCTGGTTTGGCCACAGCTGCGGCTACGCTATTGAAAGAAGCTCATTTGACACCTTTGCCATCTTTGTCAGCTCCATCATCCCTCGCACTGCAAGCCCCTATACAAGAGTCTCCTTTTCTGCAGATTGAGTGGCCATCGGGACGAGCACCCAGTGGCTTTTTGTCTGAAAATTCGAAACCAACTGTGCGGAATGAAGATCACAGCATCAAATGTGAATCGGCGTCCATGTCTTCAAAAAAGAAGCAGCTTCTGTTTTCACCATCCTTTGGATCACTATCAAGAAGTCAACCCCAAGCCATGGATTCTAATCATCCATCATCCAAGAGGTCATTCAGTTCTTTGAAGCAACATCCTGCACCTACAGATATTGTGGAAAAAGAAGCACTGTCCGAATCTTTGCCGGAGAATAACATTGACAAAGATTCTGTATTCAAGACTCCGATTCTTCTCCCGATGAAACGCAAGTCATCGGATGTAAAGGATCTCCCGCTGCCCTCATCGTCGAAGCGGCTCAACACTGGTGACTATGGTATTCTCCGTTCGCCAGTTTGCTTAACTCCAAATACTGGTCGGAAGTTCAGCACGATTGGTGATGTTGGCTTTTCCATTACACCTTTCTCTAATTTGAGGGACTCGCATGCTAGGTCAACACCACTCAGTGCTATGGATTGCTTAGATGAAGGTCAATATGTTACCTCGGGTCAACCGGAACGGTTAACTCTGGACTCAATTGTTGTCCAGTATCTGAAGCACCAACATCGGCAGTGCCCAGCTCCTATAACAACTCTTCCACCACTCTCTTTGCTTCACCCTCATGTCTGCCCGGAACCCAAAAGATGCCTTGATGCACCGTCAAACGTTACAGCCAGGATTGGTACGCGTGAGTTCAGAAGTGTATATGGTGGGGTCCATGGAAACCGCAAGGACCGGCAATTTGTGTACAACAGGTTCAGACCGTGGAGAACTTGCAGGGATGATGCTGGTGCCCTCCTAACATGTACCACATTCCTAGGCGACTCTTCCCTTGTGGTTGGTACTCATGCTGGGGAGCTTAAAATCTTCGACGCCAACAGCAGCAATGTGGTGGAGAGTTATGCAGTCCATCAGGCTCCTTTGAATCTTGTTCAGTCACATCTCTCCGGCGGTACTCAGCTGATACTGTCTTCAACTTCTCAGGATGTGTCTCTCTGGGATGCTTCTTCAATCTCCGCGGGTCCCATGCATACGTTGGAAGGGCTCAAAGCTGCGAGGTTCAGCAATTCTGGTAACATTTTTGCAGCCTTGACAACAGATGCCGCTCGAAGAGAGATTCTGATCTATGATGTCCAGACCCGTCTAGTGGATTCCACCCTGTCAGATACGAATTCGAGTTCTAATGGCAGGGGCCACGTGTACTCACATATACACTTCAGCCCTTCAGATACAATGCTCCTTTGGAACGGTGTCTTGTGGGATCGCCGGCAATCTGGTCCTGTTCATCGCTTCGATCAGTTCACTGATTATGGTGGTGGCGGTTTTCATCCTGCGGGCAATGAGGTATCCGTATCTTTATGGTTCTGAAATCCAGCCTTTTAAATTTGCATCTGTTTGCGTTTTGATTCATAAACTTGGTTGACATTGTGACAGGTGATTATAAACTCAGAGGTATGGGATCTGAGGAAGTTCCGGCTTCTTCGGAGCGTACCATCATTGGACCAAACCACTATAAGCTTCAACGCACGAGGAGATGTGATATATGCAATCTTAAGGAGAAACCTGGACGATGTCATGGCGGCAGTGCACACCCGTCGTGTGAAGCACCCTCTGTTTGCAGCTTTCAGGACTTTGGATGCTGTTAATTACTCGGAGATAGCAACTGTGCCAGTGGATCGTTGCGTTCTGGATTTTACATCGGACCCTACAGATTCTTTCGTTGGGTTGATCACCATGGATGATCAAGAGGAGATGTTCTCTTCGGCTCGAGTTTATGAAATTGGCCGGCGGAGGCCGACTGATGACGACTCTGATCCGGATGATGCTGAAAGTGAGGAAGACGAGGACGACGAGGATGACGATGAAGATGTTGACCCCATCCTAGGGCCCAGCCTGGATGGAGATGGTGACAGTGATGCAGATGACTTGTCGAATGATGACGATGACAGCGGGAGTGACTTGGACGATGACGAGGATGACGGTGACTTCATGATGGATGATGTGGACTTTGATGGAGGCGGTGGGATTCTGGAGATTGTGACGGAAGGCGATGAGGACGACGACGATGACAGCCAAGTATTGGAATCGTTCAGTAGTGGGGAAGAGGACTACATGGGGAATGGTTTCCTATGAGGCGGAAAATAACATTAGGAGATGTGCAGTATATGTAATTACTGGGAAAATGAATTTTTGTTCATTAGTTTTGAGGAGCGAGGTAGGACAAGTAGTGGTATGAAGTTTTGAGGTCTTTCGGAAAATGTATGAAAAGCGGGCAAAGGAGGAGTTGTGGAGAGCAGATTTTCTCTTCAAGCATAGAATGGAGAATTTGTCCCCTTTTGTCTGTTACAGGATGAAAACGCATTTGGTTAATAATGCAGAGGTTGTGTAGTGATCCAATTAGGTAATACTACTGACATGATTGAGAGGTAGAACCGAAATGCGGATCCCATTCGGTGCTAGAGCTGTCAAAATATAATTAGACTTGAGTAATTCAACTGATCAACGACTTGCATGTAACTTGATTTGACTAAAAGTCAACAATCATTCATGATGATTGATGAATGACTTGCAAGTAATTTGATTTGACTAAAAGTCAACAATTCATAATCAATTGAGTCGTTATTCAATTGATCCGCAATTTGACAAACTCTAACATTATCAATATGTAACCCGAACGACTTGCACGTAACCTATTGTCTACTTCTGTTTATGAGCGGACGCGGAGAAGGAGACTGATATTGGAAGCCGAGTTGAAGAAGGATGCTCCGCCCTTGGTTACACCCGTGCATGGTAGATTCGAAGGAACTATGGTGGAGGATGAAGACCCCGATCGACGTCCTAGAGCTCCGCTTGCAAGCAGGGCTAAGCACGCAACTCCTCTACAGGCTGTTACTCGTCCTCCTACTACAAGTACTCGGCGGCAGGCTGTGCCACGAGTGACTACGGAGAAGAAAATGGGCAGGAGAAGGTTGCAGAAGAAAGAAAATGGTAACCGGGGGAAGCCGAAGCCTGTTTCAAACAATCTGGTCAATGGGACTTGGGTGGAGGTCCCAGTTGGTGATTCTCAGGACATTATACCCTCCCCGGTTAGAGCTAGGCTCAACCCACAGCGGGATGAATTCGTTCAGGCGGATTCGGTGGAAACTAGCCCGGATTTAGAGGCCCAACACTTTGACCTAGGAAGTAGGAAATCCAAAGCCACGATCCATACCCATCAGGCTAATTAGGGCCGTGTCCAGCAGAAGGTGAAAGCGTTCGATAGAGGTCCAACTCTATGACCCTAGTTTCCAAGGTGACCAATTCACTTGGACAAACAAAAGTATGGGGACTGCGTGTATTCGGGAAAGACTAGACAGAGCTATTTGCTCTCAACTGTGGGTTGATCGATTCCCGGATACACTTGTAAAGCATTTCACGGATCAAGGGTCCGATCACCGGGCCCTACTCTTATCAGATAAGCCCTTTGTACGAAACAACCATCCCCTTTTTCGGTTTGATGCTCGTTGGGCATCAAACCCTGAAGTCGGGGCTATGGTGAATTATGTGTGGCAGGAATCCATCCAAGGTACTCCGATGTTCCAACTATAGGAAAAACTTAAGAACTTCGACATTTGCTCTATGATTGGAGTAGGGTGGGTACCACAAACTCTCTCCGCAATATTAAAACTCTACAAGCTGAAATTGATCGGATTAAAACTTTTCACCTCAGTAACTGGGACGAAGTGCGGATCATAGAAATGGAGCTTAATAGGCAATGGGAAGCGGATGAGGTTTACTGGAAGCCAAAGTCTCGAGTCCGGTGGCTAAAAAAGGGTGATAAAAATACTTCGTATTTCCATACGGTCATGCGGGCTCGTAGAAAACATAATTTTGTGTCCGACCTACGGAATGATAATGAAGAGTGGATCACTGAGGAGAATGGGAAGGCAGACATTACCAGTACGCAAAATCTCTTCACCTCTGAGAACCAAGTGCTCAACATGGATGAACGTGTGACTGCTCTTCCCATTGCTCATAATGTTACCCCGGAAATGAATGGCATTCTTACGACAAAGGTTCTTCCTAACGAAGTGCGGAAAACGGTCTTCTCAATTGGATCGAAACAGGCTCCGGGATCTGATGGGTTCACTGAATTTTTTTAAAATCCTTCTGGGACATTGTTGGCAACTCGGTGATTGAAGTTTTCTGCTCATTCTTCGCAACTAGTAGAATGCTCCGGAGCTTTAATCATACGTGGATGACCTTAAGACCCTAGGTGGATAATGTTGACACTATGCGGCAACTTCAACCAATCAGCCTATGCCAGTTTGTTTGCAAGATCTTTACTAAAATCATGGCTGAAAGGCTTGCTGGCCTCTTACCTCAGATTGTCTCATAAGGACAAAATGCTTTCATCCGTGAGAGGCAAATTGTTGATAATATTCTCATTGGTCACGAGTTAATGCATTATTTGAAAATCAAAACACGCGGTAAGAAAGGGTACATTGATCTAAAGGTTGACATGGAAAAGGCCTATGACAGAGTCGAATGACCTTTTCTGCTAGCGGTGAAAAAAAGGGCTTTAAGTCTGTCTGGAGAGGATGGATACATGAATGCCTCCAATCAACATTGTTTTCAGTCCTCATGAATGGCACTCCTTCGAGATTTTTCACGCCTTCGAGGGGACTCCGACAAGGGGACCCCCTCTCTCCTCTTATGTTCGTGATCTGTACGGAGGGATTTGCGGCTGTTCTAAGAAAAGCAATAGAGGTCGGGAAACTGGAAGGGGTGAAAGTAGCCCCTCGCACTCCTCGTATTCCTCATATGTTTTTTTCGGATAATTCTTATTTATTTCTCAGATTCTGGGAGTTGAGGCGGTAGGGGTCCATGATAAATATCTGGAGTTACCTACTCTAATTGCCCGTTCAAAAATGGCTACCTTTCGCTATTTGTAGGAGAAATTGCTAGAGAGATTACAGGGTTGGTAGCAGAGGACGTTATCATGGGCTGCTAAGGAAACCTTGATCAAATCCATCGCCTTAGCGTTGCCGCTTCTGGTGGAGTGTGGAAGAAGGTCAGTCGAGGATTCGGTGGATTTCCTGGCGTAATATGTGCAGGAGCTAACATGACGGGGGTATGAGATTTCGCGATTTGAGCATTTTCATAAAGCGTTATTAGCCAAAATCGGATGGCGTATCCTTAATGAACCCAGTTTCTTTTAGCCCAAGTTTACAGAGGAAAATATTTTCCGACTGAGACCTTTTTCCAAGCCAAGGCCCGCTCTCGCCCATCCGGGGGGTGGCAGAGTATCCTCTATGGGCGGCAATGATTAGATATGGGGTTAAGATGGCAAATTGGCAATGGTTAGACTGCGTCTCTTCTTCATTCCAACTAGATACGTCGGTTGCATCCCTACCCTCCAATGTATAATCCCCAGGTGCTTCCCAATGGGGGTGACCCTCTGGTTGTCGAGATTATCTACCAGAGGTAGGGGCGTTGGTGTGACTCAAGCCGGGGCAGTGGTTTGATCCGCCTACGTGCCGAGCCATCAAAGCTATTCCTCTTCCGCGTCACAATGTGGAGGATAGACTTATCTGGCATGGCACGACTGACGGTGTTTTCACTGTTAAATCAGCCTACCATTTTGTTGTCTCTCTTGATAAGCGGAATGGTCGTTAGAGGTCTATGGCTAGCTAGATGGATAGGGCCAGTTGGATTCGTTTATGGGAGGCCAATATTCCGCCCAAATTGAAAGTGTTCGTTTGGCAAATCTTTCATAGAATCCTACCAACTACTGAAGCCCTCATTGAGAAGGATGTCCCTCTGCTTCCTCGATGCCCGGTGTGTTGGGGTGAGTCGAAAACAATGGAACATTTGTTTCTTGACTGCCCAGTGGCACGCGCCCTTTGGGACTACTCAGGTCTGGAGCATCTTGGGCAAGTGTTACCTCGTCATACTTTCCCACTGTTCCTAAAAAGGTTGATGTCCTTAATACATCAACCTTCTCTTTTCATGTCGATTGTTGCTGTCCTCTGAAGGATTTGGAGGTCCTGTAACTGGGTTGTCTTTGAGGGTAAACAGATTGGGATCCCTGCCTTGATGCGCCAATTTAACCAACAATGTGAGGAGTGGGAAAGTTTGTCGGTGGATCACATAACTCAAGTTTCCTTTCCTTTGATACAATCCATGGGTCCTGGGAGGGGGTCTAATATGGTTATTTGTATGTGGGATGGAGCTACAAGGTCTGGGTCTCATTCGGCTGGAGGGATGGTTCTTTTGAACCCCAATATGGAGGTCCTTATGGTTCAGGGGATTCAGTTTCCGTTGATTGATGATCCTTTGGTGGTTGAGCTGCTCGCACTACGGGAGGCTATTTTATGGTGCCTGGACCATGGCTTCACGGAAGTGAGGTTCAAAGGAGATGCCAAAGTAGTCATTGAGAAGATCAATCGGGCGGATACCAAAGATAATAGGATAGGGGCTATTCTTGAAGAAATTGTGCAGTGCCTTGACGCTCACTCTCGGTTCACTGTTCGGTTTGTAGGTCGGCGTAGCAATAGGGTAGCCCATGCGGTGGCTAGAAAGACCCTTACATTGTAGCCGACTATCAGTCGGTTCTTTGATTTTCAGACCTGGCTGAACTCCAAGATGCAACTATCTCTCTTTGAATCAATATATGGACACTTCATGGAGATTGAAGCTGGCCAGAGAAACCAGCAGGCACTCTTGCAGGATATGAAGAACCCTAGTTCCATGTGTTAGGAATCTTGATTGTAATTATGTTTGGATTGTGATATTGCTTGATTATAATCTATTAAAGTGTTTTGATTGAGTCAATTGAAGTATGATCATCTTTCATTGATTTCTGCTGCAACCTGAGATAGATAGAATCTGATTAGGTTGTTAGAGCTTCTTCAATCGGTAGTAATGAATCGATTATACGAGAGTTAGTCGGTTCACTGCTTTGTACTGGAATCTAATTCCAGTAGTGGAGTTCTGTGTTCATTGCCTCAGCGTTCTATCCCGGTGAAGTCTAGTCGTCTGCCGGGTAGTTTGATTGAGAGGGTTTGGTCAGCTTAAGAGATTCCAAGCTACTGTCGGATCTTCCGCAGTATAATCAGCAGTAAAACAACCAAAAGTAATTACAACTGTGACCTAACTAAGGAGCTAGGGGACTCATTCCCGAGTGACTCTTCCTTTGCTTTAGAAAACCGAACCATTTCCTGCTTTCTTACTGCTTTTACTTAAATCAACAATCACTCAAATAAGTTAGCTAGATAACAGATATACACGGAGTAAGCAGTAGATCTAGACCCCGGGTTGACAATTAGAGCTTGCCTGTTACTGCATTTCCGGACTGCGATTACAATTGGTCGCAGTTTGGTGTTGTGTTTTAGCGTGTCAAGTTTTTGGCGCCGTTGCCGGGGACCTCTAGGTTATTGTGGAAACCTGAAAGTTTATTACTCTAGCATTTTCTTTACTGCATTTTCTCTTTTCCACCTGTGTGCCTTCACGGGTTGTTTTTGCTGACTGTGTGCAGGTAGTGCATGACCCGTAGCCAGTCGGGGGATTTACTTCCGTTAGATCAAGAGCTTGAACGGACTTGTAGGAAATTCAAGCGAGCGTTAAAGGCGCGACTGGCTGCGGAGGAAGCTTTAGCACAGCTGCAAATCGTCGAGGAGGAAGAGATGGGTAGGGATGGCAATGGGTCGGGTTGGGGCGGGTTTTGTCAAACCCAAACCCATGGGTTTATTCGCAAAAAAAAAATCCGGGGTAAAACCCGTTGGGTTTGAAAAACTCAAACCCAACCCAACCTGCTGGGTATCCGCGGGTTCATGGGTACCCGTGGGTTTTTGTGGTAAAAAATTTACAATAAAGTTTCTTTCAAAATAAAAGTTTTAACATTAATTTTCTCATACAAACTAATCATACAAAAAATGCCAATCTAAAGCATACAAGCAAACCGCAAATGATCAATACAAATTGTTCAAAATTAAAGATAAACATCTACAAACAATAAGATTAATAGAAAGCTTCTTCCTCGTCAACTAAGTTTCTTTACTCTCCACTTCATAATATCAATTTCATTCTAAAGAATTAGAAAGAACAGATTATACATGTCTCCACAAACATAAAAAATATTATTTGTTTAAGGAAGATATATTATTTAGAATATTAAATATACCGGGAAAGTAATTACATGTGTGTGGGCGGGTACCCATGGGGCGGGTTTACCTAAACCCAAACC